TTGTTTTCTCTTTCTTGATTTTCTTCAAATCCTTCATGGTATCAGAGCCCTAAACAAGCATCAATGGCTGATTCTAACCCTGAGTTTTCCACTTTTGTTTCGAAGTCAGAATTTGAGCAAGTTGCTAGCTCTAGAGCTAGTAATTTAACTGTTCATTCTACATTACTGACACTTTCTATGAAGCTAATAGAGAAGAATTATGGGTACTGGAGGTCCCAAGTCTTTCCTACTCTTGCATCACACGACCTCGATGGCTTCATTACTAGTGAGAACACATGTCCGCCCATGTTTTTAATTGAAAAGTCTACTGCATGTGAAGAATTTGTAAAAAGCCAAACCCTAAGTACTTTAATTGGAAACACACAGATCAATTTTTAGTTAGTTGGCTGTTTTCATCTATATTTGAATCTATGTTCAGACACGTAGCTAAGTGTGTTAGCTGGTATGAAATTTGGAATACTTTAGAACTACATTTCCAATCTTTTTCAAAGGCCAGGACATTACACCTAAGAAACTTGTTACAAACCACAACAAATGACTCCTTAAGTACCAATGAATATGTTTTAAAGATGAAAGAGTTAGGTGATGAGCTAGTGGCTAGTGTAGTCAATATTGGAGATGAGGAACTGCTTTTGTACATATTGGATGGTCTCGAACCAGAATACAATGTTGTAGTAGCTAGCTTAACACACAATAGTAGTACAGCTAGTATACAGGAAGCTCAATTTTTGCTCCACAAACATGAGATAAGGCTAGAGCGACAGAATAGAGCTTTGACAAACTTTCATGAGCACCTAACCTTTGCACTGATAGCTTATAAGCAAGGGTCGGTAGATTCTGACATAGGAGTGCTGTTGAATTCTAATATGCTAGGGACTGCAATTCAGAACAGCTCACATGCTATATAGCCTGGAATATCAAACTATTCCCCTACTTCTGAACTAGGATATCAACATGGTTATTCACCTGGTGCTTATAGGAATATGATGTTTCATCCTATAGATGACAGTATGAGTTCTGTGAATACAAGTTACCAAGGAGTTGGATTTAACAGATCTTTTTACTCAACTATACGACCACAATCCTTTGCTCCTAGTTCACAGTCTTTTACTCCTAGTATTGCTCAGTTTCATGGTAATGTGATGAAAGGAAGAGGCAGAGGTAGAGGATACTTTAAGCCAAAACTAATTTGCAGATATGTGGCAAATCTAGACATTCGGCCCTGCAGTGCTACTACAAGTTTGACCAGGAATATCAAAGCTTTATTACATCCTCATATGGCTCACCAATGAAGAATTCTTATTATAATGCATTAGTTCTTGCACAAGATAACTTTTCTAGAGTTTCTACTGATTCTATTCAGGGGTTGTTAGCTGCTAGCTATCCCACATGGTCCCTTGAACAATTCGTTTGTTGGCTTTCATGACCACTCTATTCATGCACTGACCAATGTAAATCAGAACTACATATCACCTACCATATTTGTTGTCTCCTCATCATACCAAACCACACCTTTGTTAGGAAACGATCCAGTTACGCAGCAGAAAAAAAAAATTTTACAACAACAGATCGCTCCTTAGAACCAAGATCAGGGTACAAATTTACAGTTTATTCAATAAATAAGAATCTGCAGATTTTCAGTTTAAAGTTTGAGAAATCATACGCTCGTTTGGAGGCTCCTCCAACTTGTCTATGAACATATTTCGCTACCGACCCAAGTGTAGGATCGAACCAGTGTAGTCCACACGAAGATAACAAATTAAATTTTAAACGTAATCTCACTTAGTTAATTTTAATATCAAATTAAATAAAGGCTACAACCTCAGCAAATTTAACTACACTATGAAATTACCAAAATACCCTTTTGCCTAAAAATATGAAAACACCCTTCTTCTAAGCTGGCTTTAAATTATCTTCTATATGTGTGACCCATAGGCTCCTCATCATACCGATAGTGTGTAGTATCGCGATTAACTCCAATTAATCGTCTCACTACACACAGACAAAGATTGGCCCCTAGCAAGGCATCATGGCCACCCGATAGATTCGGATTTAGCGAAGCAGCTACCTGTCAACGATATGGTTACCGTACAATCTGATCCTTTCATCATCCATTATCTCGATAAGACCATGACATAGAAATAGTGTCAACCTCGGTTACTCTCGATATCATGTATTCAATTACTAGACCAATGACCTGCATTATAAACTGGATAAAGTAACAACTCAATCCCACTGTGGCCACAGTTTTAGTGTCATTGCCATTTACTGAATTGCGTCGTGAGAAAACTTCTCCAGTACCTAGGACTGATGAATCCTCTGTCTATCTACCATAGTTTTGATACACTCCTTGATGCAGCCAATCACTATCGTATTGACAGCTCTAAATAGAACTATGTTAGGCTAGTGTCAAACTGCACCAATCGGTGCACAAGGGGCTCCGATGATCTCAAGTCTAAGGATCACATGCACCACCATTCATTAAAGGATTTGTTCTATAGACACTGGGGTTACCATCCATATGGAATCCTTTGATGGGTCAGTCCAGTGAACTTGCCTACAGCAAGCACCCATGTGTTGCACGAGGTTGTCACCAAACAACCTTAACAAGTGAGATCAGTCACTGCCTTTCGACAGGGTCATTCAACACTATGATAGCCTTACCGTATTATCTATGCCCTTACTTCGAAATAATACTAGGACTACGAACGTTTCTAGAATGGCCACCATATGTACTCATAGGGTTCTCACTATGAAGATTTGAAACACTTGATACCCTCGTCATGGTTCTACCATTCTAAGGACATATATCAATACATACAATGATGATTTACGCAACATAGTATAAAATGTCTTTTATTGATTAATGAACATTATTACAAAGAGTCGATTCTACAATAATTGATTGGCTCTAGGGCATCTACTCTAACAACCTCAGTATCAGAACACAAATGCTAGTACCTCAAATGTTTCCTTCTCCAAGGCTGCTCCTGAGTCACCAGTACCTGCAGGAAACACTTATCAAGCAGTAGCAACTCCATAGACAGTGTATGATCAAGCCTGGTATATGGATTCAAGTGCGTCTCATCACATGACAATTGATGGCTCTAACCTGATGTTTAAAGCCAATTATCTAGGATGTTCTAAAGTCCAAGTTGGTAATGGAGAATCTATTCCGATTACTCATATAGGTATGCTTTTGGTGCCTTTATTTGATAATAATAAAGTTGTTAAACTTAGGAATATATTGTGTGTTCCAAAGATTGCAAACAATCTATTAAGTAACTCACAGATTACTAGGGATAATCCTGTTATAGTGGAGTTCCATACTGATGTTTGCTTGGTAAAGGATAAGGATAGTGGGACTGTGCTACTTCAAGGGGTTGTGAAGAATGGACTTTACCAACTAGAACTATCCACGCATGTTAGCTCTCCTTCACACGTCTACATCAATACAATTTCTAGACTTACCTTTGTTATGGCATACGAGATTAGGGCATCCAAATATGAGAACCCTTCATGTTGTGTTAGAAAAGTTGAATGTAAAGCATACTATGAGTAGTAAAACTGCTGCCTTTTGTGAAGCCTGTCAGTATGGGAAACTACAACAATCTCATTTTCCAGCATCTAAATCTAGAGCAAAGGCCCCTTTAGGGTTGGTTTACTCTGATTTATGAGGCCCAGCACCTGTGCTATCTATGGAAGGTTACAGAGACTATGTTATTTTTGTAGATGACTTTAGTAGGTTTACTTAGATTTACCCTCTAAAACTAAAATATGAGGCCTATGTTGTGTTTATTCAGTTTCACTTGTTTGTGGAGAAATAGTTGAATGAGAAATTAAAATGCTTACAAACAGGTTGGGGTGGAGAGTTTATGAGTTTTTCTGGCTATTTACAACAAAATGGAATCAAGTTTAGGCACCCCTGCCCATATCTCCATTAGCAAAATTGGAGAGTAAAAAGAAAACACAGGTTTATTACAAAATATGGTCTATCTATCCTGGCACATCTGGTATGCCTCTGAAATATTGGTGGTCAGCCTTTAGTATAGCTACTTATAGCCTTAATAGACTAACTACTTTAGCCCTTTAGTTTGTATCCCGCTATTATGTTTTGTTTAACCAGGAACCTACTTATGATGAGTTTAAGGTCTTTGGTTATAGTTGTTATCCATGCCTTAGACCTTACAATAAACATAAGCTTTCTTATCACACAGAAAAGTGTAGTTTCCTTGGGTATAGTCTATCACACAAGGGCTATTTGTGTCTCTCTCCTGCCGATGGAGTGTATGTTGTAAAACAAGTGAAGTTCAATGAAGCTGAATTTCTTTTCAAAACTGGTTTTCAGTCAGATGTGTCTGCCATTTCTCTTTCTCCAAATTCTTTGTTTGAGAACAAAATAGTTCAACCTTGGGTTCTTCCTCAGCATATTTTGAGAGATGGTTCTACATCATTGGATTCTCCTATTAATCTAAGACTTGATCAATCTGGTTCAAAGTCTATTCTATCTATTTAAGGTGCTCCTAACTCACCAAATTTCACTCCTGTGGTCTCAACCAATCCTTCATCAGCCTCCACAAATGCAGCTCCCATTTCTAATATAGTATGTCCACCATCTGCGTCAATACCACATTCTCCTTCAGAGGACACAAATATTCCATCTGACTCAGTGAATGCATCTCTTGTTTTTGATACATTGTGTCCATCATCTGTTTCAGTACCAAATTGTTCTTCTGGAGACAAATTTCCTAGCATACAACTAGAGGTAGTGCTACCTTATCCCTCTAATTCAACATTAATGTTCACCCTATGATTACTAGATCTAAGAGTCACATTGCTACTTCCAAATATCAAGCTTTAGTGTCATTATCCACTATACTTTTTGAATCCAAATCTGTAACTGAAGCTTTGCAAACTCCTGAGTGCAAACATGCCATGGAGAATGAATATCAAGCATTGTTGAAAAATAAAAATGGGAATTGGTTCCTTATGAAGAAGGCATGAATGTAGTTGGAAGTAAATGGGTTTTCAAGACCAAATTTAATTCAGATGGTACTTTACAGAAATATAAAGCTAGGTTAGTTGCCAAAGGCTTCCAACATACTCTGGGGTTGGATTATTTTGACACATTCTCCCCTGTTATCCAGGCTGCCACAATTAGGATCATGTTGTCATTGGCAGTCCATCATAATTGGTCCATACAGTAGCTCGATGTCAATAATGCATTTCTGAATGGGGATTTGACAAAACAAGTCTTTATGTTACCTCCAAAAGCTTTTTCAGTTTCAAGTTCTTCACAAATGAGACTTGTTTATAGGCTGCATAAAGCGTTATACGGTCTCAAGCAAGATTCTAGAGCTTGGTTTGATAAGCTGAAAAGTGTTATACTTGAATGAGGTTTTGTCAATTCAACTTCAGACGTTAGTTTATTTTTTTTACAAAAAGAAGTTTCAAGTGCGGTATCTCTTAGTATATATAGATGATATTCTTGTGACAGGTAATGATTCTCAACTTATTTCTCTAGTTGTGACTGATTTGAACAACAAGTTTGCTTTAAAGACTGTTGGTGAGGTCCAATACTTCCTTGGTTTTGAAGTAAAGAGGAGTAATTCAGGACTATTGCTTACCCAAACTAAGTATGCACATGATCTGTTACAAAAGGCTGGTATACAAGACTGTAAACCATGCTTAACACCTATGGCTATAGGCCTGAAACTTGCCAAGGAAGATGATGAAATTTTTTATCAACCAACACTCTATAGAAGTATTATTGGAGGGCTGCAGTACCTCATCCTGTCTAGACCAGATTTGGCTTTTTCTGTCAATAAATTAAGTGAATTTTTACAGCATCCTATAGCAGTTCACTGGACAGCATGTAAAAGAGTCCTAAGGTATGTTAAGGGCACTTTGGTGCATGGCATTTTATTTATAGGAGATAAACTTTTTACTTTGGAAGCTTTTTCATATGCAGATTGGGCTAGAGATGTGACTGATCATAGATCAACCAGCGGCTATAGTGTATTCCTTGGTGGAAATTGGATTCAATGGTCTCCAGAAAATCAAAGGTGGTGTCTTCACTTCTACTGAGGTAGAGTTGATTGCTAAGTCAAGGCCTACTGAATTGGTAGGGGTGCAAAATTTGCTTACTGAACTTAGGATTACTATAAACCATACCCCAATGGTTTGGGTGACAACATGAGTTCTGGAGCATGTCATCCAACCCTGTTTTTCATGCCCGAACAAAACACATCGAAATGATGTGATTTTGAAGAGAGCTGGTTACCAGGAAGTTGCTACATGTTCAATATATTGCTTCTGAGTATCAATAGCGGACATTTTAACAAAGGCTCTAGCTAGTACTAGATTCACAATGTTAAGGGACAAGCTGAAAGTTCTTCTTTGCCAAGTATGTGGATAGTTAAGAAAATAGTCTAGTTCAAAATGAATGTTAGTAACGAACTGTCTGAAGTGAGATTGTGTTGATAAGGACTTTTACTTTAAGGGAAGATATTAGGTATCAACAAGTCTGCTGAGTATGTAGTTTAGTAGTTTGGTTTAAGGGAAGATATGAAGTATAAAGGCTAGGAAGAGCTTGAGGAATATTTGGGGTTGTTTTGTAAAGAATAGAAACTCTAGTAAGTTGGGGTTGTATTGCAAAATATCAAAAATGTGTCAAATGGGTGCATTTTATCATAACAAAGAGTATGAATATTGCCAACTGTAACTAATTCATTGGTGAAGAAACCCATTTTTTAGTTGTAATAGAAATTCTCTCGATTGTTCTCTTTTTTTTTTTTTTTTTTTTCTTGTTTTCTATTTCTTGATTTTCTTAAATATCAATCTATTTTACCTAAAAATATCTCCAGTTTTAGTTGTCTGAGTAAGCCGTTTTATACACGGTATTAATGATTAAAGGATTTGAAGAAGAATAAGAACTTAGAGAGCAAAAAGAGAGAATCTGTTACAATTGAAGAAAAATGAAATCTTTACTTAATGAATCAGTTACAGGACTTAACAGTATACATACACATTATTAAGACAAAACACACCACATTTACACTTACTCTGATATTTTGCAGACACAACCCCAAATATACTTCATATCTTCCTTTAAACCAAACTACTATATTGCCTCTATATTTCATATCTTCCCTTAAACCAAACTACTAAACAATCTTCTCAGCATTCTCACAACAGACTCCTTATTTGCTCAAAATGGAAATATTTTTTGCTCAAATATGCAGCTCACCAACTTAACAATTAAACATAACAACTAAACAAAACTACTGCATTTGCAACTCAAGTCTGCAATTAGATTGAATCTGCAACTCAAATTTGCTCCAAAAAGAAAATTTGTAGCATAACACATTTACACCTTGCAGAGACCCTATCAACACAATACAACTTCTTTGCAAACACCTGATTAGCATACCATAGGAAAACAAAAATCTGCTCAAAAAAGAAAATCTACAGCATAACACATTCACACCTTGCAGAGACTCTATCAACACAATACAACTTCTCTACAGACACCTGATTAGCATACCATAGGAAAAAGGATCTTATCAGCACACCACAACCTCACTCATTCTTACTACAGAAAACTCTAAATCACCGCAAACTACTCTGAATCACTACAGCTACTCTAAACCAGAAATATTCTTCTTAACTGACAGTACTACTTGGAAAAGAAGAGCTGACTTTTAGCTTGTCCCTTAACATTGCGAATCTAGTACTAGCTAGAGCCTTTGTTAAAATGTCCTCTATTTGATATTCGGAAGCAATATACTAAACATTCAGCAACTTCCTGGTGACCAGCTCCTGTACAAAATGTACATCAAACTCGATGTGCTTTGTGAGGGCATGAAAAACAGGGTTGGATAAAAGTGCTCCAGCACTCGTCTTGTCACACCAAACTATGGAGGTATGGTTTATAGTAATCCCAAGTTCAGTAAACAAATGTTGCACCTATACCAATTCAGTAGTAGCTTGACTTAGCAATCTATACTCTGCCTCAGTAGAAGATAAGGACACCACCTTCTATTTTCTGGAAGACCATTGAATCAAGTTTCCACCAAGGAATACACTGTAGCCACTAGTTGACCTGCAATCAATCACATCTCCAACCCCATCTGCATCGAAAAAGGCTTATCTCCTGTAAACAGAATACCATACTGCAAAGTACCCTTAACATACCTTAGAACTCTTTTACATGCTGTCCACTAAACTACTATAGGATGCTGCAAAAATTGACTTAATTTATTGACAGAAAAAGCTAGGTCTGGTCTAGACAGAATGAGGTACTGCAGCCCTCCAATAATACTTCTATAGAGTGTTGGTTGATAAAAAACTTCACGATCTTCCTTGCCAAGTTTCATACATGTAGCCATAGGTGTTAAGCATGGTTTACAGTCTTGCACACCAGCTTTGTGTAACAAATCCTGGGCATACTTAGTTTGGGTCAGTAATAGTCCTGAACTACTTCTCTTTACTTCAAAACCAAGGAAATATTGGACTTCACCAAGGGTCTGTAAGGCAAATTTGTTGTTTAAATTATTCACCACTTGAGAAATAAGTGAGAATCATTACCTGTCACAAGAATATCATCTACATATACTAAGAGATACAGCATAGCAGACTCTTTTTTGTAAAAGAATAGACTAACATAAGAAGTTGAATTGACAAAACCCCATTCAAGTAGAACATTTTTCAGCTTATCAAACCAAGCTCTGTGAGCTTGCTTTAGACCATATAAGGCTTTATGCAACATGGAAACTAGTTTGGTGTGTGAAGAACTTGAACCTGAAAAACCTTTCTGAAGGTGACATGAAAACTTGTTCCGTCAAATCCACATTCAAAAATGCATTATTAACATCAAGCTATTGTATGGACCAATTATGATGGTCTGCATATGACAACATAATCCTAATTGTGGTAGCCTTGATAACAGGGGAGAAGGTGTCAAAATAATCCAACCTCGGAGTCTATTGGAAGCCTTTAGCAACCAACCTGGCTTTATATTTTTGTAAAGTACCATCTGAATTAACTTTGGTCTTAATAACCTATTTACTTCCAACTACATTCATGCCTTGTTCATACGGAACCAATTCCCATGTCTTATTTTTCAACAATGCTTGATATTCATTCTCCATGGCCTGTTTCCACTTAGAAGTTTACAGAGCTTCAATTATAGATTTGGGTTTAGAAAGTATGGTGGATGATGACACTAAAGCTTGATATTTGGATGAAGCAATGTGACTTTTGGACCTAGTAACCATAGGGTGAACATTAAGTGCTAAAATAAATGAGCAAGGTAGCACTAACTCTAGTTGTATGCTAGAAAATTTGTCTCTTAAAGAAGAGCTTGGTGCTAAAACAAAGGCTAGACACACTGCATCAAAACTAAGAGATGCATTCACTGAATCAGACAGGGCATTTAAGTCCTCTGAAGAAGAATGTGGTATTGAAGCAGATGGTGGATATTGTATATTAGAAATAGTAGCTGCATTTGAAGGAACAGTAGAGACCACGGGAGTGAAATTTGGTGAGTTAGGAGCAGATTTAGGAGCAACTGAAGCAGATGGAATAGACTCTGAACCATAGTTATCAAAGTCTAGATGAAAAACTATCTCTTGAAATATGCTGAGGAACAACCCAAGGTTGAGTTCTGTTGTTCTTAGATACTAAATTTGGAGGCAGACACATTCAACTGAAAACTAGTTTTGAAAGGAAATTCAGCTTCATTGAATTTCACTTGTTTGACAATATACATTCTTCCAGCAGGAGAGAGACACAAATAGCCCTTGTGGGATAGATTATACCCAAGGAAAACACATTTTTCTGTGTGATAAAAGAGCTTATGTTTATTGTAGGGTCTAAGATATGGATAACAACTACAACTAAAGACCCAAAACTCATCATAAGTAGGTTCCTAGTTGAATAGAGCATAATAGGATGAGACAAACTCAAGGGCTGAAGTAGGTAGCCTATTAAGGATATGGGTAGTTGTACTAAAGGCTACCACCAATATTTTAGAGGCAAACCAACATGTGCTAGAATAGATAGACCATACTCCATAACAGACCTGTGTTTTCTCTCTACTCTCCCATTTTGCTCATGAAGATAAGGACAGGGGTGCCTAAACATGATTCCATTTTGTTGTAAATAGCCAAAAAAAACTCCTAAACTCTCCACCCCAATCTATTTGTAAGCAGTTCAATTTCTCATTCTACTATTTCTCCACAAACAAGTTAAACTGAACAAACATAGCACAGGCCTCAGATTTCAGTTTTAGAGGATAAATCCAAGTAAACCTACTAAAGTCATCTGCAAAAATAACATAATATCAATAGCCTTCCCTAGATAGCACAGGTGCTGGGCCCCATAAATCAGAATAAACCAACACTAAGGGGGCCTTTGCTCTAGATTTAGATGTTGGGAAATGAGACTATTGTAGTTTTCCATACTAACAGGCTTCACAAAAGACAGCAGTTTTATTACTCACATTATGCCTTACATTCAATTTTTCCAACACAACATGAACGGTTCTCATATTTGGATGCCCCAATCTTGTATGCCATAACAAAGGTAAGTCTAGACTTGTATCTTTATTACAACTAAAACTACAGATAGTAGAGTTAAAAACACTCTCTAAACATGAACTAGGAAGTTGAACAGCATCAGAGCTCAAGCCAACACCAGTAGTGTGAGGTCCAACATTGGAATAACACTCTGCTTTTATTGGTAAAGAAGAAATTGCATTGTTGTAGGCTTGTGCAGAAGGGCTAACATGCGTGGATAGTTCCAATTTGTAAAGTCCATTCTTCATAGTCCTTTGAAGTAGCACAGTCCCACTATCTTTATCCTTCACCAAGCAAACATCAATATGGAACTCTACTATAACAGGATTATCCCTAGTAATCTGTGAGATACTTAACAGATTATTTGCAATCTTTGGAACACACAGTATATTCCTAAGTTTAACAACTTTATGAATATCAAATGAAGGCACCAAAAGCATACCTGTATGATTAATGGGAATAGATTCTCCATTACCGACTTGGACTTTAGAACATCTTGGATAGTTG